CCCATCACCCTCTTCTGGTCTCCACGGACACCTGCATTCACATGCATGAACACACATGCTCATACTTTTAAAAATAAGACATATAAAATATAAATTTATATCTGCTCATGTTTTTATAACTCAGAGTGTGGATGTGAGTGTGGGGTCTGAGAATCAGTTCTCTCCTTCCACCAGGTGGGTCCCAAGGATTGAACTCAGGTCGTCAGGTAAGCTCCTTTACCCACTGACCCATTTTGGTGGCCCCACATACTAGAATTTCAAGCCTTGGGCATGGCCAACACAACACAGCAGCAGTGGAAATCCTATGAAGGGCAGGCGGCCTTCAGACATGAGGGAGCATTGTTGCTGCCCCAGGAAGTCTCAGTTTCACTGACCTGTGTTCATTCTTGATGACCTTTATGCTACAGAACAAACTCCTCACGGATAAAACCCAGGGCCCAAGCCCTGGGAGTTTGCGGCAGAGCCCAGAGAATACACTCCCCACTCCCTGATGGTGACCAACACATTCCGAAGTTCTGACTGCCCCACCTCTCCTTCTCCCTGCAAATGTGAAAGACGACTCTTACCCCAGATCACAAGTGCTACCCACCACACTCAGTCTCCCAAAGTGCAACCCGAGGTGGCTGCTGGTATCAACAGCCAGACAGGAAATCCAACTTTGTGTAATGCTGTGGACTTCCAAGGGGCAATCTACAAATGCGCTTTATAGCATGAGTGGGGGTCCTTAGACAGAAGGGGAAAGGCCACCAGGCTGGGGGATGCAGTCCCTTTCCATTGCCCCTATCTGTGACTTGCCGGGGCTGGCTGGCTTCTGTCAGACAAATCAGTTCCCATTTCCAGCTGACCTCTCTTTGGAAGGGAACCGTAGGTGAGCCATGTCCATGTCTCAGTGTCTTCTGTCTAACTCCAGAGGTGTCGGGATCACAAACACATTGGATTAGGACTGAAGGAGGAACCGGCATGGAGACAGCTTATGAACTTGCTTTGTGAATCACCTGTTAGCGTGCCTCATGGACTGCCTGCATTTATTTATCTCTGCTGTCTCCTCTCTGCCCTGGAGCCTTGTGGAGCAGAAGGCAACCAAGCCCTGTGAACAAAGCCTTCCTAGTAGTGGGAGGGTCCAGCAAGGAGGGAGTCCTAGAAAGACCAGCCATCGGCAGCCAAGCTCACAGGCCTGCTTGAGGAAGTCACCCGCCAGCCTCTGTGTCCCTGCCAACCTCAACGCAAGGATGAATCCTGCCCTCACCTGCTCTAGTTCTAATATTTATTGGCCATGATGCTCCTTTGGTAGCCAGTTCTCTCCTTCTGCCACGTGGCTCCCACAGACCCAGCTCAGGCTGCTGGGCTTCGTGGCAAACTCCTAACCCTGATTTTCAGTCTTGATTTTTTTTTCCAAGTGAGGAAACTGGAACTCAGGAGTTGAGATGACCAAGCAGCCACCCCACTGGAATAGCCAACAGCACAGCATCTGGCTGGGGTTCTGAAGGCCTGCTCCGTCATTGGTGAGCAGTTGAGGCTGAGAATGGGGTGGGAACTTTCCTAGGAATGGGCAGGTCTTTCGCCGGACCCTGATCACTTGTGAGCTCCATGTGGTTGACCCCTGTGCCATCTGCCCCTTTGGTGGTGGCTCACGACACAGTCAAGGATGGCACAGCCAAGCGCTAACCACTGCCTTGCTTCTCTGTGATCTGCTTCGAGCATAGAGCTCACTTCTGAGATACTGGTGGAGTCCGTAAACATGGCCTCTGTGGTCTGGTTACACCCCCTCCACAGCAGCCTCACATCTGTCTGTCAGGGCAGGACCTGTCCCAGTGAAAGGAGGGTGATGCTTCCACCAAGGACATCGGGTAAAGATCGAGTCCAGGCCACTCCCAAGGGCCTCTCCCAAGGCCTCATTTAGTTCATTTCTGTAGCCTCGGGCATATCACGTAGGTCTCTGGGACTTTTCTCAGATGGAGGAGGGAAACACAAGCAAGCATCATCTTTCCTTGCTCTCATGGTCCAGGGACAGCTTAGTGAGCAGCAAGTGTCATCTTCCCTTGGCCTCGCTGTCTGGGGCCAGGTCAGTGAGCATGGCCGTGGGTGAAACTGGAGTCTCTCTCCCTTGCACCCTAAGGGACCCCAGGCAGCCATTCCTCTCTGATGAAGCAGTGAGGAATCATGTGGAGACCAGGGTGAGCCTCTCGGGTGGTGCCCAGGTGGAGACGAGGAAGGGGGGATCCACAAGACAAAATGGGGTCCCTTATATACCACAATCCATTCTGGGCACCTTAGCCCCCGTGGGTCAGAGTACAGCTCCGTTCTCCCCGCTCCCCATCCCTCGCTCCAGCTCCCTTTGTGCTCAGCTCACTCTGAAGTGCCAATGTCTTTCTTTCTTTCTTTCTTTTTTCTAATGTAAAGGGAGACAGTCTAACATCTTAAGTCTGGATGCTGCCTTGAAAGGTCACCCAGTGTGCACCCTTGACTTCAGATGGGGCCACTTTCAACTGATCCAGACAAATAGGGGCTTTCTCTACACATTTGCTTAAAAAGCCTATTCATTTCTCCTTTGTAGTTGAAGCTAATTTTATCACATCAGAGAGATATTAGAAAGACCCAGAAATATGCAGCCAAATGTGCCAATTACACCTCTGGGCGGCTCACCGGTGACTGTGTAATGAGGGCCTCCTTCAGAGCAGCCATCTAGGCCAGGTCCACCTGGTCCCTGGGGTCATTATTGCTTGTTCTTAATTTTGCGCTCTAGACGTGGTTATTCTCGCCCTCTGCAAACAGAGACCTGAAGGCACAGGGGACAAATTGGGACAGATTAGTTAAACTGATCTAAATGGTAATTCTGGGGGAAAAGTCAGACTGTTGTCGTGTGCTGATCAAAAGCGCATCCATCACCTGTGCAGCCTCCTGCGTTGGTGAGCGTGGCTCATGCAGCCACGGTTGGTTTTCAGGGACTATTTTACCAGTCCAGCGCCACTGGTGCCTCCAGAGAGACATGGCAATAAAAAGGAAATTAGAAAGAAGCCTCTGGCCGGTAGAAGGGGAGCATCTGCCGAGGCTACGCCCTTTCCTTAAAGGAGTCCAGGGCCTCAAGAATCCCAGGACATGACAGAGGACGGCCACCTATGAATGCAATCCTTAGCCCTAGTGACCCACCATCAGGACCCTCTGTCCCAGGTGACTCACTATCAGGGCCCTCTGTCTCAGGTGACCCTCTATCAGGACCCTCTGTCCCAGGTGACTCACCATCAGGGCCCTCTGCCTCAGGTGACCCACCATCAAGACCCTCTGTCCCAGGTTACCCACCATCAAGACCCTCTGTCCCAGGTGACCCACCTTCAGGACACTCTGTCCCAGGTTACCCAGCTTCAGAACTTGTCGCTATGGCAATCTACCTTCAGGTAAGTGCTCAGGCCTGGATCATACTCCCCAGCACTGAGGGAATAGCTTAGGGAAGGACTTCTGCCCTGGCTCATCTTTAAGCATGGCCTTCAGAAGGGCTCAACCTTCACCTTGGTTCTTGCTAGGCTAACCCCTCCCCCCCAGACACAAGCTAATGGGAATACCCTGCTCTCACCTCCCCCTTCCTAGAGAGGTTTTTCCTGGGCAAGTTGTTCCTCCTGTTGTCATCTAACCTTAGCTAGAGACATTGCAACACCACGGGCAGAGTGTTACTGTCACCCACTGCACAGAGGGCTGAGGGCTCCACTGAGACCCTGCAGAAGAGGCTACGCTTCCTGAGAAGGACAGTAGTACTTGGAAGCCTCTACCAAGGCTTCCCGGGGCATTCCTAGTCTTCCAAAAGCTGATAAGTGAGCACCATTCATGTGCATCATCCTGCTAGGTTCTGGGAAACGGATGTAGGATGCACCATCTGTTTGCTCCTCCGTCGTGTGCAGCATTCACCATCTTTGATGTGCAGCAGCCACCTCCACTTGTAAGGACAAACAGACACGGTACTACTAAACAGACATGATAGAAAAACAGTAAATGACTCAGAAAGACCCCCACAAAGTCCCTAGTTGAGGATCCAAATAAATATTAGCTCGGGCTGCAGAGGATGTGGCAAGTGGTTGGCTGAAGAAATAGAACGCCTGCACTCTAGTTCTGTAAAGTACCACACCCTCCCTGTATTTGCAGCAGGCCATTTTGCCATCTTAGGTACTTTATTTTCCTTTTTCTTTTCCTTATTCCCTCTTTCTGTCTCTTTGTCTCTCTCTCTCTTTTCTTTTTTCTTTTCTTCTTTCTTCCTTCCTCCCTTCCTTTCTTCCTTCCTTTTCTTTCTCTCTTTCTTTCTTTCTTTCTTTCTTTCTTTCTTTCTTTCTTTCTTTCTTTCTTTCTTCTATAAAGGGTTTCTCCTATATAGCCCTGTATGTCCCAGAACTCACTCTGTAAATCAGGCTTGCCTCAGACTCAAAGAGATCCGCCTTCTTCTGCTTCCTGAATGCACTGCCTGGCCTTAGTTACTTTCTAATCCCAAGACACCATGACCAAGGTGACATATAGAAGAGCTGATTGCGATATCAGTTTGAGAGGGTGAGTCTATGACCATTGTGGTCAAACAGACAGCCATGGTGCTGAAGCATCAGTGGGGAGTTTACATTCTTATCTGAAAGTTGGAACCATGGGCCAGGGAGAAGACATGGAGAGCTAACTAGGAATGGCCTAGGCTTTGGAAACCTCAAAGACACCACACCCCCAGTGACACACTTCCTCCAACAAGGCCATACCTGCAATCCTTCTCAAGAAATTCCACCAACTAGGACCAAGTATTCAAATATGTGAGCCTATCAGTACCATTCAAAGTGCCATATCCAGTGAATTCAATTCTGCTTCCCGTTCTTCCTCTCTCCCCACTCTGGTGCTTGTGGGACGCTGATTCTCAGTGCTGACTCTTGAAGGTGGTGAGCATTTTTCCCACTGTGTTTTTGCTCATGCATGTGCAAGATTAGTAACACTTTGGTTCATAAGACTCTCATCCTTTCATGAAGAAAATCTCCTCATCCACATTGTTCTAAAATTTTTATTACATTGATCCATTTATCTCTGTGAGCACGGAAGGCAGAGCACCTGTAATGGAGCATGTGTGGAGGACAGAGGACATTGTGCAGGAATCTTTCCACCATGTGGATTCTGGGACTCAAACTCAGGTCCTCGGGGTTGGCAGCAAGCACCTCCACCTGCTGAGCCACTTTTCAGGCATGTCCATCATCCACTTTCCTACTATCACCCAATATTAAGTTGTTAGGAACTTTCCAGGCTGATGGGGAAGTTCTAGCTTGCCATCTGTTGCTGTAATAAACAATACAAACATGAGGAACTTAGGGCAGAAAAGAGTTATTTGATTGACAGTCTATCAACAAGAGAAGCCAAGGCAGAGGCTTAAAACAGAAACAATGAGGGATCACTGTTGACTGCCTTATTCCCAGGTCCGTGTTCAATCCTTTGTGTACAGCCCAGAACCATCTGGGCATGTGCCACCCACATTGTTCTGGGCCTTCCAATGTCAACTGGCAATCAAGAAAATGTTCCACAGACGTGTCAACAGGCCAATCCAATCAAGGCAATATCCTGTCCAGGTTCCCTTTGATTACCCTAGGCTGTGTCAAGCTGATAGCTGAAGCTGACTAGGTGCCCTAGGGTGGGACTAATCTAAAAGGCTGTAGAGTAGGGAGGGGCACAAACTACCTCATCCTTCCTCCCCCAACTAAAGAACATTCTGGTCATTTCTGAATTGTTAACCAGTAAAATGAGTGATAGTGAAAATTCTAGCCTTGGCCTCCTTGTGTGTGCAGAGGAGAGGGCAGAGCTGGGCTGTGTTCTCTTGTGAAGAAGAACCATCTATTCTTTCCCAGATACAGAGAGGGCAGCAAAAGACCAAAGAAATGCCTCCCAAGACTGACTTGGTGAACCAGTAAGCTTCCCTTCCAACTCGGGAAGACTCAGCCACCACCAAAACCCCACCCAGCATGGGTGGCAACTCAAAGAAGCTGCTTCCCTGGAGTTGCCAGAGTGGTTGGCAGTCAGCCCCACTGTGGAAGAGTCCCTTCTCCCAGCAATGGCTTAGACTGAAACCACCTGGCCAGAAGCCCAGTGAGTCTTGAGAGGTTTTCAATATTGTAAGGCTGTTCCATCTCCTTACTGAAACTCCTTCTGAAACTGAGTGTGGAAGCAGAGACACAGCCGGAACCAAGCCCTTGGACCTAACTGGGTATTAGCATGGCATTCACCAACGTGGCTAAAATGTCTTCTGTCCCCCCAGCAGTAGGTGTGCCAGGCTGCCAGATCTTTCCACCTGCCAGAGTACCACGCTCCTCGGAGTCTTTATTTTCTGGAGTCTTCAAGGCACTGATCATTCCTGTACCACAGACCCGGAAGCAACTCTAGTGAGACGAGAAAGAAAAGGCTGATTCTATGATTGTCAGCGCAAACCAGATGCCAGCTCCTGACAGGTCCCAGGAAAAGGTAATTAGAGAAAAGGTTTATGCAAACGCTGAGTGACAAATTCACACATTGTGAGAGCTCCAGCCTAGAAGCTAGAGACACCTTCACCGCGTCCACAGGAGGAAAGGCAAGCCACGCCATTACGTCTTTTTTATAGGCCATAAAGACATTTTATAAAAATTTAATATCCTCGTCTGATGCCTGCAAATGGGTGGTTACCTCCTTACAGGACTTAAAAAAAAGCACACATTTCCATCCAAAAATTACCTTCATAATTAATTGTAAAAATACTAGAGGCGTCCCATTAGAAACAGTTTAAGAGGGCTTCCTGCCACCATTGGAAAATAAAGCAGCCAGGGAAACAATTAGACACGAGCATAAAAGCTGTGGAGAATACGCAAAGAGATGGGACCGTCGTAATTTATAGATAATAAGGTTGTATTCCTGGAGAAAACCAAAATAACAGAAAAATATTAAAACAATAAATACACAGAAGTCTAATCAGTTTTAGGCAATACGCACCAATCAATGGCTTACTCATACATAAAATATAAGAAGTTGGGAAAAACATAACATTGAGAATCATTTGCAATAGATCAAGCCCCAATATACCTAGAAATAAATGTAGCAATAAACTCAGGACATATGTGAAGCCAAAGATAAGTAGGAATGGAGTCTCCAGTGGGTCAGGGGCTTGTTGTGCCGGAGTGAGGACCTGAGTTCAAATTCCCACAGCCACGTGAAAGTCATCAGATGGTGCTTGCCTGTAACCCCAGGGCATGTACGGTGACAGGGGGAGCCTGGGATGTTGCTGACTGGTCAGTCTGACTGCGAGAGCCACTTTTCCAGGTTCAGTGAGAGACTCTGGCTCAAAAAATAAAGTGGAGAGGGCAGACATTTGGCATTGACCTCACATCTCCATACAAACATACACCACATGCATGGGTGTGCTCACTATTACAACACATATGAGCACACACACATCGACACAAGTAATATTAATAATAAAATAACATTTTAAACTATTTCAATAAATGAAGATGGGTGTCTACTTTATTGGGCCCAAAGACTTAAAAATTACAAAAATATAATTTTTCTTGTTGGTCTATGAATTCAGTAAGAGCCTATTGTGGAGTATATTTTAACTTGGGAAAAGGGAGAGATTCTAAATGCATGTAGGGGGATACAAAGATGGCTTAGCAGGCAAAGATGTTTGCCTCAATGGGCAAGGACCTGAGTTTGCACCCATGCGATGGAAGGAGAAAACTGACTTTTGCAAGTTGTCCTCTGACCTCCACAAGCGTGCCATGGCTTGCACACACATGCAATACACACGCATACACACAAGCAATGCACGCACACATGCAATACAAACACACACACAAAATAAATCAATGTGATTTAAACCACTTTTAATTTGTGTGAGAAGTGAACCCCTGACCACAGCCAAGAAAGTCCTTTGATGAGTGGTTTTGAGGAACGTGTCTTGTCAGATGTTAAAAATTTATTAGTCGGTGACAGTTCAGTAAAGCAGTATGGTTTAATAAAACAACAACAACAACAATAATAATAGATAGCCTAGGGGAAAATAAATCGTGCTAGCTAGGACTAGCACCCCAACAGAGACTTTCAGTGTAGCATATGCTGGTCATGCCCAGCGAGCAGGCACTAGGAACGAGAGGTCTAAAATATAAAGCTGGATGCAAATCCATTTTCTTCACTACATAGTGAATGTCTAAAAGATTTCCATGAAAAGAAAAAAAAACATTAAAACAGATAAAAAGAAAATAAAGGAGAATATCTACAGTATGATGATGCGAGACTCATTGGCCATTTTGAACACCGGGGAATCGGAAAATACAAACGCAGACCTATGAATACAACAATACAAAATATGCCATTAGAATGTTTTTAAATGCCATCCACAGAGTCAAAAATAACAATTTCATGGTTCTATCACAGAGAGCTAATATCTTCAATACACAAAAAAGTTTTTATAAATCAATGAGAGAATAATATGCCAGTGAAGAGGTTGGCAAAGGTCCTGAACAGCCATTTTCCAAAAGACAGAATCTGAAAGACGGTGGCCATCTTCAAGCCAAAGAGCCAAGGAATCTCTCAAAATTGAGTGTTTTCTTCCTAACCAATTGACTAAACGATAACAAGACAGAATCAAGTCCTGCTGCCTTTGTGTTCTAGCTGAAGGTGGGCGAGGGTTTCCTGGGATTTTGGCCCCGGTGTCCCACCTTCAGCTAGAACAGCACAGAGGCAGCAGGCAGAGGTGGGCTGCCCTCTGCAGAGAACTGCCTAGATCCAAATGGCTGCAGCTTGCTCATTTTCCGCTCGCCGAGGACACAGTTTCAAACGATGCTTTGCCTCCTGAGGCAGACGGCCAGGTTGGACAGGCTGGAGGGTGTGACCTGCAGCTGCGGAAGGATCACAGAGCAGGGCCTGAGGAGAGGTGGTCTGCTCCAACAGGCAAAGGGCTGTGAGAACACGTGTAGGGCCTTGGATAAACGCTTCCCAAATGAGGACCTGTCCACATGCAGACCAGCAAAGCAGCAAGGGGGAGCCTGTGTGGAGACAGATATACCAGGCCATTGAGGCCACAAGGGAAGAGTCAGGGCTCCCTCAAAATATCCCAGACAACTGTTATGGTAATCCAGAGGCAGAGGCTCCCTCCACAGGGAAGCAAGTGGGGACTCACCAGTTACTGCCGTTCTGTGACCTTCCACGTGGGTGACCTTTAAGTCAGCTCAGAGCAAACCAAGCTGGAGAGTTTATTTAGCTTCCCTTGGCAGCAATTATTATCCATGGACACATTTATCTGTGTTCGTATGTCAGGGGTTTCCATTTTGACCTGAATGACTCAGACTCACTCCCAATAAAATCTTCTTTGGAAGTAGACAACACACGGCCTCTCCTTTCTTGGAGGCCAACACCTTTACCTTCAAGAGTGTTTTACCAACCAATTTCAAATTTCTTGCTTTGGAAATGCCTGCTTGAAAAATGCAGTCTTAAAAACCAGCACCCCTCAGAGCTCTTTCTCTAGGAAAAAAAAAAATGGAAGGAAGTGTTCTGGAATGCAACAAAAGCCAGACCATTGGAGAAATGCAAGCCACCATCCCAGCAAAGGGCTGCAGGGCCCCCCAGGAGCTAGGAAAACCCAAATGCACATTCACTGTCACCTTGAAAGGATCGTGGTGAAAAATAACCTTCTGGGCATGTGTGTTTGGAGGAGTCTAGAGTTAGTTCACTGAGGTGGGAAGACCTCCTTACCTGTCAGAGACACCATCTCAGAGGCTGGCTTCCTGAGCTGAGTGAAAAAGAGAGCTTTAGCTGAGCTGCAGCCTTCACCTCTCCCTACTTCCTGACTAAGGATGCAGTGTAAACAGCGGCCTCACAGTCCCACCACCATGCCAACTGCATCTCAAAGGATGGTCCCCTCAGGCTGTGAGCCCAAACAAGCCTGCTTTTCTCAGGCATTTTCCCACAGTACTGAGACAAGTAACTAAGTCGTTGTCCAAGAGGTCCCAAGCTCTCTGCTCCTAAGCATCACTAGGAAGCTCCATCTCGTGGGACAGTGTTCAGAGAATTCCTGTGAGCCGTGTGGGATGATTCCCAATTTGTCCACGTTCTTTGTGTCGCTTGAAATGCCTGTAGCATATGAACGACACCTATAAGCCTGGAGTCATTTCTAAGTTAAAAGAGTAAATACTGAAATCTTGTTCATAGCTGAAATTCAAAAACAACTCTGTTTTCCAAAACTGAGCTTAAGTGAGTTGCTGATGAAGAAAGGCAAGCCTGAAGCGGGATTGAGACAGTGGATGAGAATTTCCAAACTCTCA